TTTTCGAAAAACTATTTGATGACAAAGTTGTCCAACATTGTAACAACTATAGAAGAGTTAAAAATTTTTGTTGGTGTGCTTCTCTTCTCTGGGTACCATAAATTACCTCGTGATCGCCTTTATTGGAATCTTGATAAGGATGTTGGAGTTCCTTTTATTTCGAATGCAATTAGTCGAAACAGATTTACAGAAATATTACAGAAACATTTACATTTAGCAGATAACAGAATACTTGATAGTGAGGACAAAATGTACAAGATTCGACCACTTATCAACATTCTCAATTCAAAGTTTTAACAATGGGGAATTTTTCACAAATTCTTGTCTATAGACGAAGTTATGGTTAAATACTATGGTCATCACTCTGCGAAGCAATTTATAAGAGGTAAACCTGTTCGTTTCGGGAACAAAGACTGGATGTTGTGTAGCTCGGATGGATATTGCTCTTCATTCGATACATATTGTGGAGCTAAACCGTCATCTAGTCAAGGACTAACTAAAATTAAAACCACGCTTCCACTAGGTTCACGAGTGGTTCTTGATTTTGTAAAAGTAATTGATACCCCATGTGATCATGTCCTATTTTTCGACAATTGTTTTGCAAGCCATGATCTTTTAAATACACTTCGAAAGCATGGAATACGAGCTACTGGTACTGTACGGGATAATCGTACAAAAAAATGTCCTCTTGTACCTGCCAAGAAAATAAAAAAAAGATCGTGGATTCTTTGATTTTCAATACGATAAAAGAAACCATCTTCTATTTGTTAGTTACAAACTATGATTCAGTCGAACCTTTAGCACAAGTCAAGAGATGGTCTTCGAAAAGAAAAGAGAAAATTTCAGTATCCCAACCGCAACTTTTTAAAAACTATAACCACCGTATGGGCGGTGTTAATCTATTAGATTGTGGGTACTCTTTACTAACGTTATAAACGTAACTATTGTAAATGCCTGGAGATTACATAAAATTATTTACCCCAATGAAAAAGTGGATGTTTTGCAATTTGTTAGAAGCATTACTCGTCACTATCTACGCTCCTATAATAAGGCTGTACAAAGAAGATCTGTATCTAGTAGGCCTTCTGGTTCATTACCAAGAAGTATATTGGAAGATCCGGTTAGACATTTCCCCAAAAAAATTGAGAACCAGCTCAGATGTCGTCAATGTCATATGAGGGCTAGATGGATATGTGACAAATGTAATGTGACTCTGTGCATTGAACGAGAGTGTTTCAAAATATTTCATTCTTAGTTGTTGCTTTACAGTATTATAATAATTGACATACAAAATAATAAATATAAAGTAAAGTATTTTTGGTAAAACTTATTATCCCATTGTACTCATTTGGGTACACACATTTTTTAAAAAGTATAAAAGAAAAAAACATTTTTACTGTAAGTACAAGTATTAGGAGGATATTTTTAGTTAAAAAAAAAAAACCTGATTTAATATTTTTTTTCTGATAGGGCGCTGGTGGGCAATAATGGGTTAAAATAACATTAGGGTTGGTACTAAATTTGTTACAAATATTAATATTATTAATCTGAAACCCGCGTAAGTATAGCGAACATTATATATTGTATATTGTATACAGTATATAGTATATTGTAAATTTAGTGGAAATTTTATAAATGCCTAGACGTATGTTAGATGTAGATAGTCTAATTTGTAGTGTACATAAGTATTTTAAATCGGTAAATTATTTAAAATCGGTAATGTCTGTACAACAACGCGTATGCGATGCTCTAGGAATTAGTGAAACCAAATTAAGAGGAGTATTACAAAATCACAATAGTGAACTGGCGAAAGAAGATCACCGCAAAACTCGCCCATCATTGAAAATGAAAGATATTCCAGATGGAAAGAAATTTGAAATTCGTGATACCATTTATCGAATGAGGGCCAACAAGGAACATGTGACCTTAAATACAATTCTCTCGGAATTAATAAATAAAAAATTTGACGACATTAGCAGAACAAGTCTATGGCAAGTGATACATAATTTGGGTTTCAAATTTCAAAAAGAGGATAACAGAAAGGCCCTTTGTGAAAGAAGTTCTGTCATGCACAAGAGAATTAACTTTCTAAGAAAATATTCTTAATTTAAAGAAGAAGGGGCGAATTTTATATATTTAGATGAAACATGGATATTTTCTAGGGACGCAACCAAGAGAATATGGCAAGATGATAACGTAAAGTCCATCAAACATACCGATGGAAAAGGGAAGCAACACATAATTTTACATGCAGGAGGGAAATCGAGTTTTATAGAAGGTGCTGATTTAATACTTTCATCTAAATCAAAATCCAGTGACTATCACGATAATATGATAATATGATCACAGAAATGTTTGTAAAATGGTTGCATGAAAAACTTCTCCCAGGTTTAAGTGAGCCCATCGTAACTATTTTAGACAATGCACCTTACCATTCTGAAGTATTAAACAAAAGTCCAACGAATTCTTGGACTGTTGATAAAAGATAAAAGAATGGTTGACAAAGGAACATATACCATTTCCTCAATAAATATTAAAATCAGAATTATTACGCTTGGCAAATATACACGCAAAACCAAAAACCTTTGTTGTGGATCAGATTATTGAAAGTTACGGTCATCAAGTTTTACGTCTGCCACCGTATCATTGCCAGTTTAATCCCATCGAATATATATGGGGAATTCCAAAATAATATTGTGACAACCATATTGGGCCTAATGGTTATAGTGACGACGCAGTTCGGGAAACTTGGCGAAAAGCACTTTCAATTGCAACTTCAGAAGTGTGGCGGAACTGTATATCCAAGTGCGAGAAACTAATAGAAGATTGGTGGACTCGCGAAAATAAAATAAACGAAATAACTCCAATCATAATAACAATTAATTGTGATGACAGTGATGATGATGATGACGATTATGATATTTTGGATGATAATGACTGATTTTCATTTTTGTTGGCAAGTTCAATTTTTTTATTTTTCATTTGAAATTCTCTACATGGAACAAATTTTTATGTTAGAAAATATTTTATTTGAGCTAAATAACCCTCTTAATATAATAGACCATATTTTCTGTGTGAAGCGTAACATAAAATTATTATTAGGTTTATAATAGCCACATTAGACTCCATTAATGAAGAAGTTTAATTCTGCTCTCAATAATACAAAATATTCTCCATTATTATTTAATTAAAAAGTTGTACATTATTTTTCATTTCATTTAACCAGTTGATATTTCCCCAAAGAACAGGTCAAACTTTCGGGTACTTACCTCATAAAATGTTTAATCCGAAACCCGCGTAAGTATAGCGAACATACTGTATTTGATTGTACCTATTTCCAAGAGCCTGGCAAATAGATTTGTGTCTCTTAAAATAGGAAAATACGTTTACGATTAAAGTGTTTGATTGACAAATTTGATAATAACATGATGTAATTAATCTACGACGTGCCAAAATCTAGTAACTTTTTGTTTCATCCATTTTACATTTAAAAAATAAATAATGCGAATGGACTTGGGGTATTTCCCAGACTTTTAAAGCCTTTGAATGGGTTAGCCCTGTGGTATTTCTCCATTTTATGAGTGTTACACCCTCTGCCATTTTGAGAAAATTCCTTTGTCAGTGCTCTTTGTAATGTCGTGGAATAGTTCTGGTCCTATAAACTCAGATTTGGTCTTTTATGACAGATATAAAGATAATTATTTCCAAAAAGGAAATGCTTGCTTTATTTTTCCGAATGGCATTAATTACGTTTTCAAATCGGTGTCAAACTTCTAATACTTCACGTTAAATCTCGTGAAGTATTTTTTTCCATTTTGTTATTTCCTTTTAATCTACTTTCTACTATTCACCTTAAAGTTGCCTCTAGAATATCATTCGTCGTAAACTTTATGTAACTGGTAAAACTCACGTGTAACAGTTTACAGTTTAGTGAAAGTCCATATCCAGTAGCACGTTTCAATAAAAATGATTCAATAAAGTATAAGTAAATAATAATATGTTTTCTCGTCTAGAATAAATTAGTGATACCCTACGATATCAATGTTGTCTACACCCAGATATATAGATTCTGTAGGATTTGTGAGGTAACTTTTAAAAATGTCCAACACGAATGCCGTAGCAGTCTACAAAAAAACCTTAATATTGTAGAATGTTACGGCCTTCGTGGCGTAGTGTTTGATGTTTTTAAGAATTACCCCACAAATCGGGAATGAAAAATTAGGGTGCCTCAAGGTTCCGTCCTCGGGCCGGTACTATTTTTGGCATATATTAATACTTTTATCATTACCTGAGTTTCGGAAAAATTAAAAAATTGTTGAATGAGTATCAACTATCATTAAATGTAAACAAAATAAATTATTTTGTTTATTTAAGTGAAACTAATAGACCAGACTACACTAGTCTTATGTAGTTCTGCTTATGAAAAATATTGAAATGGTAAAATGGATATACCATTATGATTTTATATTACATTTATTATATAGATGTACTAACCAAATTGAAGTAACACAAAGTTCATTATTTTTAAATATTTTTTATTTTCAAGAACTACAAACTAAGTCGACATAATTGATGTTAGACGTAATTAGTAAAATCTTATTTGCTTTGAATTTTCTGTGGTCAATTCTGGTTACATATTATTATGTAAGTTGATGGTCGAAAAAGAATTATAGGACCATTAAATAATAAAGCAAAAAAATTAATTTCTTTAAAATTAAACAAGTGCTTCTAATTTATGGTATTTGCTTCGAGTCCAATGTATTGAGATCCAAGTGATCATCTCGAAAAAATCGAAAAAAACTGAGCTCCGTTCTTCTATTTACTGCGCATATTACCTTGATGACTTCAACTATAGGTGTATGTACCGATTTTGATAAGTGTATTGTTACAGGTCGAAAACAACTGTTAAAGAAATTAGAGTTACAATCATTTGCGTATTAATTTTGTTTTATTTACAATGCTTTCTTTTTACAGTATCATCGGCCAATATTTGAATAATTATGGCATGGGTCACTTTAGCAAATCCGATGCACAATACTTTCTCGTCACTCTTCGTTCAAAATGGCGACAGCATTACCATCAACGGAAATTGTTTAGGTATGTAAATTAAAAATGAGTATATTAGGGATGTAGAGCTATCATGTAAAAATATATTCAACTGTATAGGACCTTCCAAAAAATATTTTAAATGAATTGCCTTTTATATTTTGACATTTTTAGAAGTAGGTAGATGACCATTTGTTCCTGGTTAAAAATAATTTAACAAAATTTGCGAATTTGCATGATTTTTTATACCTACTGATAAATGAATATTTAGCAATTATTTAGCCCATATATACAAAGTTAAAATCAAATTATTTTTCTTTCCCAGCCATTTTAGAAAAAATCTTCCTCAGACTAGTCGGAGAAGACTCAGCTTTGAGAACTTTTCGTCGAGCTATTGGATTTGGACAAAATATCAGAAGAAATTTGATACCGTTACTTTTGTACGTTAAAGATGATACCAAAATTGCAGACTCTACTAAAATAATTGATACTATTATCAAAATTTTGGTTAACCTCACTATACCAGTCGGTAAGTTTTTATGTAAATAAACTAAAAAGTTTTCCTACGACCGCAGGAAAGTGACTTATAATCAGACTATTTGGTAGCATGGAAACTTTATCACACCCTTATCACATCATTATCGCACCTTTATTTGATTTCAACATTACTCGTAAAAGAAACAAAATCAGTTTAATATTAAAATATATTTATAAAAGATAAATACAGGGTGTTATTGAAATACACGTACATATTAAAACTGGGTATTGCGCAGATCCCCACTGAATGTAGAAAAATATTATTTTTTAAAAATACCCCTTATTAAGGGAGTTATTAATTTTTGAAAATTAATTCTAAAACAAACGTACTTCACTGATATGTTGAGGATGACCTATATAAATTAGGTTTATTTACCTATTTTAAACAGTAATTAATATGCAAGTTTTTGTCAGATGATAAGAAAACTAGTCTTGTAAGAAATAACCATGTTGCCAAGATTTTCGAATTAATTTCTATTTCCGAAGACTGGTTTTTACTACCCTCGTTATCAAAAAACTAGAATATTTGATAAATGATTGTTTTTAAACTATACATTTTTGAAACTATAGATTATTAAAATTTTAGTTGATTTACGAATCTGGCTAACACGAGCGCGTCATTTCCAAGTTGGTAAAAAATGTTGTTACGATTACTTTTAAATATTTTTTTACGATGCCACTATTTACGAATATTGAACTAACGGATATAGTGCTGGTTTATGGGGCAGCTGGAGAAAATTCTCGGCAAGCACAAATCCTGTATCGCGAACGGTTTCCAAATCGGAGAATTCCGGACTGTCGTACGTTTATTTCAACTGTTCAGCATCTAAGAGACCATGGAAAATTTGAGAGTGTCAATGCAGAACGAGGGAGAACAAGAACACAAAGAACATTGGCGGCCGAAGAAGAAATATTGGAAGCTGTTGAAAACCGGCCTCAATTAAGTTGTAGAAGACTAGGTCTTGAAATTGGAGTGTCCTCATTTGTTGTGTGGCGGACACTTAAAGAACAAGGTTTACATCCTTATCACATCCAAAAAGTCCAGGCCTTATATCCAGGTGATGAAGAAAAGAGAGTGGAGTTTTGTGAATGGATGATTCAAAAATGTGTTGATATTCCTGATTTTCTAAAAATATTATTGTATACTGACGAGGCTTCATTCACTCGTGATGGCGTGTTCAATATGCACAATACGCATATTTGGAGTGATGAAAATCCTCACGCCATTAGGGAAACTGGGCATCAAAGAAAATTTTCATTAAATGTTTGGGCTGGCATAATAGATCAGTATTTAATCGGGCTTTATGTTCTCCCGAACAGATTAAATGGGCCAGGATATCTCCACTTTTTAGAAGATATTTTGCCAGTACTCCTAGAAGAGATACCGTTACAATTAAGGCAACGGATGTGGTACCTACTAGATGGCGCTCCTCCTCACTTTGATTTAAACGTACGGCAGTTTTTGAACATTAGATTTCCTCAAAAGTGGATAGGCAGAAATGGACCTACTAAGTGGCCTCCGAGATCTCCGGACTTAAATCCATGCGATTTCTTTTTGTGGGGTCACATGAAACAACTGGTTTATAATGAACCTATTAATAGTGTTGAACAATTAACCAATAAAGTTAATGCGGTAGCCGAGGAACTACGACAAAATCCAAGACTAATTTCTAATGTTCAAAGTTCTTTGGAAAGACGATTGCAAGTGTGTGTAAATAATAATGGACGGCATTTTGAACAATTACTGTAATAAACTTTATTTTGAATTAATTGGTTTTGCTACGGCAACAGTGCAATTTCTATGGGTAAGTTCAATTTCGATTTATTTTACTTCTTTAAATATGGAAACTAGTAGGTCGGAAAAGGGGACTCTTCCCCAATATTTAAATTTTAGAATTTGAAGTTAAAATTGGTGCCAATCGTTTTTGGTCATTACATACTATTCCCCATTTTAATATGTACGTGTATTTCAATAACACCCTGTATAACTATTTCATTTCTATTTTTCTAATTAACATACTCTTTAAACACTTTTTCCTAGCTAAATTGTATACGGCTTAGCTTTGTATTAAGGAACTTATGTTTGCTTCCGGCAACATTAGCATTTTGATATTTCTATGGAGGTATTAGTTAAAGGCATACAGCAATTGTAAATTAGAATAGAATCTCCAAATGCAAGAGGTAAGTAAGCGTATTTTGGTTATACACCCTTGGTCGCTATGTTGAAAGAGGAGTTTACAGACGTCAATTATGATTAAGTGTTACAGGTGTTTAATTTGAGTATAACATTTCTGTGGTGACGACTTTTTCCTTTTGTTTCAGTCAAAACCATTTTATAGTTAATTAGCTCGTACATATTTTACAGTCTAGTCTTGTGGTCGTGGGAAAAATAATGTACATTTCTTGTAGTATAATATATTATTTATCGCTATTCAGAATATTTGCTCTCCGTGGAGGCTATGTCACGCACAGAAGTCGAGAAGCACACTGTTTTCGAACTCAATAACCTCCTAACCTCAAGCAAGGAAATATTCACGGACAGCAAAAGTACAAAAGCTTTGGTGGATCACATGAAGTTTATAGTAGAGTCCCATTCACAACTAGACTCGGACCAATGCGACAGTATTAACAACTGCTTGCTGCTGATTAGAAATATATTGCATGTACCTGAAAATAAAGCACCTGCCTCCAATGGAGCATTGGGACATACTAGCATGCAGAATCAAATTATGTGGAATCTATTTACACAGAATATTGATAAGATCATTATTTACCTAATGTCGTGTCCTCAAAAGGTTAGTTATACTCCTAGTCTTTTTAATAGAATTATTGAGATCAAATTGAAAAATACGGAACTTTTAATACCCTTTAAATTACCTTCAAATCACGTGCTATGTAAAATGCATTTGTTTTTTAGTCTGCAACATATTGTAATTGATGTTCCGACTAGTAAAAAGCCAACAGTTCTTCAAAATGTATCAGCGATATAGTAATTATAACATTATAACGTGTTTTCTCTTTCAGGTATATTGGGGAGTGACTCTAGTACAACTAATAGCTCTATTATACAAAGACCAGCACGTTGGAACTCTACAAAAACTCCTCAATCTGTGGCTAGAATCCTCTTACAGCGATAGTTCTGACGATAACGAAAGTAACACTTCGCCGCCAGATCAAGGCAGCGAAGATTTCTCTCCTCTTATTACTTCAGATCCCACTTCTGATTCGAGTGATAATGGTGCAAATGACATAAATAAGTGTAATAGTAATAATATTAATAACAATAACACTAACAGGGTACGTTTAAAAAATATATATCTTTTAATGTTTAACACAGTATGTAACAGCAGCTAGGTTAACCTAAGCAAATGTTAATTTTTTTAGGTTATTACTGACAGAGAACCAATGAGAGTGTCGCAAAATAGAAGTAAAAGTTTAAGCTCTTTAAAAAGAAACAAAAGTACAGAAACAGATACCAGCAGCAGCGGTATATCGTCTATGGGTCACAGCATTGAGGTAATATTGCGTCGTAAGCAGCTTCTAGTTCTATGTTGGTTTATTTAATTATAATCCGCATTGTTTACTATGTAATTAATTATTGTTCTTTTTTGTTCCTATTTTCCTTTTACCTTCTTTTTTTGCTATCTTTCCTTCTTCCATTCTTCCATTCTTTCATTCTTCCATTCTTCCATTCTTTCGTTCTTTCGTTCTTTCGTTCTTTCGTTCTTTCGTTCTTTCGTTCTTTCGTTCTTTCGTTCTTTCGTTCTTTCGTTCTTTCGTTCTTTCGTTCTTTCGTTCTTTCGTTCTTTCGTTCTTTCGTTCTTTCGTTCTTTCGTTCTTTCGTTCTTTCGTTCTTTCGTTCTTTCGTTCTTTCGTTCTTTCGTTCTTTCGTTCTTCCGTTCTTTCGTTCTTCCGTTCTTCCGTTCTTCCGTTCTTCCGTTCTTCCGTTCTTCCGTTCTTCCGTTCTTCCGTTCTTCCGTTCTTCCGTTCTTCCGTTCTTCCGTTCTTCCGTTCTTCCGTTCTTCCGTTCTTCCCTTCTTCCCTTCTTCCCTTCTTCCCTTCTTCCCTTCTTCCCTTCTTCCCTTCTTCCCTTCTTCCCTTCTTCCCTTCTTCCCTTCTTCCCTTCTTCCCTTCTTCCCTTCTTCCCTTCTTCCCTTCTTCCCTTCTTCCCTTCTTCCCTTCTTCCCTTCTTCCCTTCTTCCCTTCTTCCCTTCTTCCCTTCTTCCCTTCTTCCCTTCTTCCCTTCTTCCCTTCTTCCCTTCTTCCCTTCTTCCCTTCTTCCCTTCTTCCCTTCTTCCCTTCTTCCCTTCTTCCCTTCTTCCCTTCTTCCCTTCTTCCCTTCTTCCCTTCTTCCCTTCTTCCCTTCTTCCCTTCTTCCCTTCTTCCCTTCTTCCCTTCTTCCCTTCTTCCCTTCTTCCCTTCTTCCCTTCTTCCCTTCTTCCCTTCTTCCCTTCTTCCCTTCTTCCCTTCTTCCCTTCTTCCCTTCTTCCCTTCTTCCCTTCTTCCCTTCTTCCCTTCTTCCCTTCTTCCCTTCTTCCCTTCTTCCCTTCTTCCCTTCTTCCCTTCTTCCCTTCTTCCCTTCTTCCCTTCTTCCCTTCTTCCCTTCTTCCCTTCTTCCCTTCTTCCCTTCTTCCCTTCTTCCCTTCTTCCCTTCTTCCCTTCTTCCCTTCTTCCCTTCTTCCCTTCTTCCCTTCTTCCCTTCTGCATTATTACTCCTGTCTTTCCTTGTTTCCTTATAATTTTCTATTGTACCTTCTTTCCTTCTCCTTTTTTTCTTTCATTTTTTTCTTGACTTCCCTTCTTTTCTTCTTTATCGTTCATTTTATCATTAATATTTCTCACTTTTATTATTACATAATAATTATTTTAGTGTAATGACATTTACCCAGACACGATTCCTGAACAACCGACTCAAAATACCGATTTGACAAAGTCTCCATCGGTTTGCCAATCGAATCAGAGCGAAATATCCGATTGCGGTTATGCGACGCAAGTTGAAAATCAAGAATCGATTTCAACGTCAAGTAACGAAGACGATCAGAAACCAGTCCATCAAAAGCCGCCTACTTTTCAAAAAACTCGCTATACGTCTAATAAGAATAGGGCGACCACTACTTTGGAAAAGAAGGAATTGAAAAGGAAGAAGTTGGTTAAAAGAAGAAAAACTAACATGTAAGTTCATCTACCAATTTCTTTAAATAGAATGCCTAATTCGATTTTAATACGAATCAGATTTGTATCTCAGTCTTTTTTTTGTATTTGTACAAGAAAAAAACTAGCAGCACAGTATAAAGAATAATCAGTATTGCGACTCAAGGTCCGTGTATCAGAACTGCGCCGATTGCGCCGCCATTTTCTCAGGATAAATTTACGAGTTGTCAAGCGATGTTGCCAATGCTTTTTACGATGGTCTTTTGCTAGTATTATATCCAGACAGTTACTAGTTTAGTTATTGTCATGTGATACATTATAAACAATAATTATATATCACACAGCTCTTGAGTTTGAACTCTATTGCAGTCTCAATTTCAAATGAGAGAAAAAATATATTGTAGTTTTAAAATGTTCTGTATAGATAAATGTATACAAATTATCTAAAAGAGTATATGTTGTTACATAAAAAGCTGCTAGCAAAATGGCGTTGCCTAAGAAACCCTTATTCCTTGTGGAAAACCGTGACAGATAGATATCAAAGGTATTGCTTGAAAATCATACTACTGATTGTTTTCTAAACTGGGTTAGCAATTTCAAAAATGAATTAAACGTTTGTGTCACGTAAACAGATTCCTGCGAACTATGTTCAAACGCTTTTCTATTATCGTTACTTTTTCAGAATAACCATGAAAGGCCTAATGCACCATCTTCCAACTGATGAAGATATCGCCAATATCTTGAAAGAATTCACTGTCGATTTCCTGTTAAAAGGTTACGGAACCTTAGTGAATGATCTCTATACAGAACTGCTGTCATACTCTCACGTGCAAATAGACACTTCGCACTTTTTGTGGCTTGTCACTTACTTCTTGAAATTTGCCATTCAAATGGAACTAGATCCGGAACATATCAGTTCTGTTTTATCTCAGGATATTTTTAATTATTTGGTGTTCCAAGGCATTTGGATATACGAAGAGTTGGAAATTAGTTATATGATTCCTGGTATTGATTTGAAGCCTTGTTTGAGAAGATTGCACTTGGTAAGTACTAATTATTTTATTATTCTAATGACAAGGATTATTTTTATGTATGCAAAAGTTGACTTTCAAAAGCATTTATAAATAAAAATGTTTTTAAAATATTTATTTCAGGTGGTAACAGCCATTCGAGAGTTTCTCCAAGCCATCGAAGCTTATCAAAAAATGATCCACCTCTGCGACTCGGACAAAGACCATTTGGCTAAACTTCAATATCAAATAGGAAAACTAAGCGATTTAAAAATGCTGTTTGTTTTACTGATAAGGCAGTACAATCCAAACATACAGTCCAGGCAGTATTTGCAGGATCTCATCTTGACCAATCATTGTTTCTTTTTGTTTTTGGACAATTCTTATAAGACTCAGGAACAACACGATAATATGATGGATCATTTAAAAAAGTAAGTGGTGCTACTTCCTGAAGTCCCGCCATGCGTAAAATGTGCTACGTGTTCCTTAGGTCTGACTTTAAAAGTTTTTTTAGTTTACGCAACCTATTTTTTATCGTAAACTCAATTTTTTGAAGATTTCATACTTTTCAGTATTATTTTTTGGTTGAAAGAAAATGCTTTACATTCATTTACATGAACACATTTACATGAGTACATTTACATAAATACATTTACATTAACACATTTACCTGGATACGTTTATATTAATGCATTTACATTAATACATTTATATGAATAAATGTACATTAAAAAATGTATGTTCATATATTTAAATGAATATGTTTACATGAATATATTTATATGAATACATTTATGTTATTACATTTAGTAGATTACGTTTACATGACTACATTTACATTAACACATTTACATGAATATACTTACATGAATACATGTACAATAAAAAATTTACATTCATATATTTAAATGAATATATATACATGAATAAATTTACATTAAAAATTTTACATTTATATAGTTAAATGAGTATATTCACATGAATAGGTTTACATGATTAAATTTACATGAATACATTTACATGAATATATTTACATAAATACATTTAGATGAATACATTTACATGAATATATTTACATTTTTTTTTAGTTTTGGTACAGTAGAAATAATGCGGCAGTATGGAATACTGCTGGAAAATTTTAAGGAAAATGGAGAATTCGTAAATAATTGCATATTTACCATGATGCATCACATTGGAGGCGATTTAAATAATGTTGCAACGTTGTTTCAACCTACCATTTTAAAAACGTTTTCACAAATTTGGGAGACTGACTATGAACTATGTGACGTAAGTAAATAATACATATGCTCCAATAAGGTATGTTAAAAAGTTACAAAATTTTAAAGAGATTAAATACATTTTTTTGTGTTCAACCTTGATGTACACGTTGTAAAAATAATATTTAACTGTTACGTTAAATTCTCTGCATTATACAATAACAAACTTAACTTCTTTTGTAACTTTTAATAAAATGGTATGGTTCGAGCAGGATCTTTGATTATCGAGGCAACAAATACATAAAATCTAGTAAAAACAGAAGACATGAAAAAAAAATGATCACCCACCATTGGCTTTGTTGCTCCATCATTCTCTAGCGGTAATTTAATATCACTCTAACATTCATTTATTTTAAATCTAACCTTGTCGTAATATTTGTGTTTCCTAACCTGTATTTATTTATAGTTACTATATTCTTTTCAGGACTGGTCTGATCTTATGGAATACGTAATACACAAATTTATGAATACCCCTGGTACTCACTGCGTCGAGAACTCAACAAGATCTGTTCCTGTTCATTTAGAAAGTGATAAAATCTCAGAACAAAGTCCTTCCGAGTAAGTACCTCTCCAATTCACAAAACAATATTTAACTTTTATTTTAGGTTCAGAAAAACACTAATTTTTACTAACGATTAACAATAAATAACAATAAAAATTAAGTAATTAAAATGCAGTTCACCTCTTTAGGACAGCTAAATGGCCATTTATTTTTTATAAAAAATAAAAACCTCGTCGCTCGGTTGCATTGAAATAAATTTAAAAACTGTAATTCGGAATAAAGTAATTGGTTCCTTCACTTTTCCGTTTTTATCTATTAATTAAATGCTGTCGTTTGATTATCTTCTCTCAAATATTGGAATCCATAATATGAAAAATTGGAATCTGTTAAGAAGCCGTACTCCTTTTACTATGAACGCAAGTTGCTGCTCAGTTTGACTTGTTTTCATGTGATTAAACGGTGTTTTAGGTCCGTTTAAAATACTTTATTTAAATAATAGAGATAATAAATTAAATTTTTATCATCTTTACTAAAACAGTCATATATATGTAAACGAAACAAATTAAGTATCAAGAACTACGATCAACGTTTTAGACAAACGCTCATACCCTCAGATAAACAAATGAAATATAGATAAGGAACAAGCGTTGTTTAACATAGCCTTTGTTTGAAGCCAGCATCTACGAATTTTTGCTGCGTGCTCTTATGCTGTAAATGGAAAAGCGCGCGAATTTCGAAACGTCGGCCGGGCGCGCTCGCTTCGTTCGCTTACTTCTGTAGTGGTTACATAAGTTTCCATTACTTTTTATTTGTGCTATTTACAAATCTGCGAAATTTCTAAATGTAACTATTTGAATATGTCTGAAAATTATTATTAAATAAACAAAGCATGGGATAGATTTAAACTTTACGTTAGTAAAAAAACGCTTACTTATAATTACAATGACTTTACAAAAATAGCGTGCTGTGTCCTCTTACAACTTTCAGCAAATACATTTGTTTTAAGAAAATAACTCACAACACAAAATTTTTATTTTATTTTAAACCATTAAAAGACGTCTCTAACCTCACACTGCGACGCGATAGCATATGAAGACTAATTTGTTAATTGTTACCAGTCCCGTAGTCGTCGATTTATTTTGACAATTTGGGGAACCACCGGCACCGGTTGATATTTAACTTGACATTATAAGACAGCTTAGCACAGTGGTTCTCAAACTTTTTTTGTGACGGAACCTTTTTGAAAAGCGAAATATTTAACGGAGCCCTAAACACATTTCTAAAAAGAAAGGTTCTCCGAGCAAATTAAAATCTTTGCTCTAGCCAGGTCCCTCCCTTTTCTTGATAGTGCTGCTTTTTTTATAGCAATAGTACTGCTTTTTTTATTATTGTTATTATTTCCTTCGTGGAGGCCCCACAAAGGCTTTGTGGAGCCCCAGGGCTCCGCGGACCACACTTTGAGTAACACTGGCTTAGCAGATTTGAGCGCGAACACCGATCGACTAGTAAATAATGAAATACCGGTAAGCACTTAAGCAGAGTACACGAACTAGGATGTTGCGATGATTTAATAAACTGCTATTAAAAAGCAGCTGTTTGAAAGCTGCTTTTTAGAAAAAGCAGTTACTGTTATAATTATTGTTATTTAAAAATAGAATTTCGATATGTTAGCCAGGAACACCTTTTTCATACTTCACCGTTCGCTTCACTCGCTCTCTTCTGTTGTGGTTAGAACATGGGCAGAGCGAGCGTAGCATGCTCTTATAGTGTAAAGGTACCATTTGGGAACGCGCGACAAAGGAAGACGACAGGCAGCAAATCCTACGCAGCAAATTCTACCGTGCTAAAACTGATGTCGTCTGTCGTGTTTTCTGAAATGTGTTTCATATAATTACATATGTTCAGACGTAAAGAGACCGTTCCGATATCCCTCGCTTTCGTCTTACGATTGGCCGTGACTATATTGGTACACTTAGCGGCACGTCGGCTTGTCTTGAACCACTGCATAAAATTGACGTAACCTAGCTTATTGTTAGCATTAAATTTGTAATAACCTATTTAAGTATTTTTATTAGTATTTAGGTTTAGGTTACTTACCGTCACTTTCTCGCTCACTATCCATTGAAAAGTTAAGCAGAAGAAAACAATATTGTCAAAAACTAACCTAAAGACACCAAAATAAATACTGTACGTTATTAAGTGTCACCACACAATAGCAGTATCTAATTAGATTAGGTTGGCGGTAAAACGGTTAAAGTGCACCTGAATCCGTTTACTTCTATACGCGGAGAAAGAATTTTTAATTACGTTTTGCTACCGGCTAAATATACTTGAATCTTTACACTACCAAATAAAAATATGAGCGAAACTCGATGTCTCAGCTCCATTATGGGACAAGGGAAAAAGATAGGAAAAAGTTGAAAAGAGGTTCTTAAATGGGATAGAGTAAGGTCCGTTTTAAGCCCAATTTGTATATTTATCCATATTTGGAAACTGAGGTAATGACGTCATCGTTTTTTTTTTTTTTTCGGAAACACCTATATTTTTACAAATTTAAAAAGAGCTAATTTTTTTGAACAAATTTTATAAAGAAAAAAATTTGATATCTCCTTCACTTTAAAAATTATAAGCAAATTTGTAAAAAAGAAACAAATAATATATTACTTACAAGAAAGAGAAACAAAGCTTGTATGCATAGTCAAACACTAAAACAAATTTTCAATGTGACCACCTCCTACTTCTAAACACTTATCCAATCTCCGTCTTACTTCTCTTACCGAAGCCTTACGTAACATTTCTCTAGATAATTCATCACAAGCAATTCTGATTTTGTCTTTTAAATGTTCCATGTTAACTGATGGTGTTCTGTAAACTTTATTTTTAAAAATTCCCCACAAAAAGAAATCTAGTGGGGTCAAGTCCGGTGATTTAGGCGCCCACTGTATCGGTCCATTTATACCTATCCAATGTTCTCCATAAGTTTCATTCAAATATCGTTGGACAATTTTTGCTTTATGCTGTGGAGCTCCATCATGCTGGAAACACATATTTGCTCGAAGCTGTAATGGCAAATTTTTGAGAAGCACAGGCAATTGTTCTTGAAGAAATTGCAAGTATCGCTCACTACATAAAATTCCTTCGTAAAAATATGGACCAATCAAATGCCCATTAATAATACCACACCAAACGTTAATTCCGAAATGCCCTTGGTTTTCAATCGGATTGACAAAATGTGGATTCTCAGTAGCCCAATAATGTTCATTTTTTTTATTGGGCTTACCATTACTAACAAAACGGCTTCCGTCCGTCCATAAAACATGCTAAAAAAATCGATTTTCATACTCTAACGTTTCCATCACTTGGGCAATATAACTCAATCTTCGTTGTTGATGTTGATCTGATAAGTATTCTAAGTTGTGAAGTTTATAATCGTGGTAACCATTTTCCTTCAAAATTTTTCGTACCGAACTATATTTTAAATTCAACTCACGACAGGCTTGCCGAATCGAATTTCTTGGATGGGTTTCAAAATACTGCAAAACAGTGGCAACAGTATTATCAGAATTGACTCTTTTAGCAATTTTTTTTCCCATTCGAGAAGAAAATGCCTTGTTATTTGAACGTAAATTGTGTTCCAATCTTGCAAATATTTTTAAGCTTGGAATAACACGTTCGGGGTATCTCTGGGCGTATAACTGAACTGCTCTTCTAGGGTTCTTTTGAGATTCCCCATAAACTAATAACATGTCGACTTTTTCATTGTGCGTGAACATTTTTCAAAGCCAAATAACAACATAACAATATTTGTCAACCATTAATTTAATTTGACAGATACGTCTTTGCTATTTGTTTCCAAAGGCGACTTGTTTAAATTGTGACTATTCTGAATTTTTGATTATACTTTTTTTTACAAATTTGCTTATAATCTTTAAAGTGAAGGATATATCAAATTTTTTTCTTCATAAAATTTGTTCAGAAAAATTAGCTCTTTTTAAATTTGTAAAAATATAGGTATGTTTCCGAAAAAAAAAATCGATGACGTCATTACCTCAGTTTCCAAATATGGACAAATATGCAAATTGGTCTTAAAACGGACCTTACTCTATCCCATTTAAGAACCTCTTTTCAACTTTTTCCTATCTTTTTCCCTTGTCCCATAATGGAGCTGAGACATCGAGTTTCGCTCACCCTGTACTCGTTTTTTATAAAATGTGCAATCAAACCCTTTTACTTCTAACCCCCTCAATTATATTCAGAAATAAAAGAATTATAACCATTAATAATTTTTGAATTTTCAACTTTAACGCCCTGTATTTCGGAAATTAGCAATATTTTATGTGAGCATGTTTCGTTTAATCATCTTATCTTTAATTAGATAATCTTCAGTTGGTCGATGTTCCATTCTTAATGTGACACCCTGTATATTAAAGATTGTTTAGAAACACATATAAACAAATTGAAACTATCTAAAAATATCTATTTTTAAATAATTAATTTCAGATCTTAATCGCTTGGCTCATTTTGGAGTAACATTATCCATTTTTCTGAAGAAGTGGGCGCCAGGTGAAAAGTGTCGTTTTTCAAATACAAAATTGGATAAGGCTGTATTTTTGTTTCTTTCTTTTTATTGTTCATTTCGCACCTCCGCATAGAGTTAGGAATGAACAACTAATTAACCGATAATGCTTGAGGAGTTAGGTGAAAATAATTATTTTCCACGCCCGATTAAACGTTATCTAATTAAAAATTATTGTTTTTTTGTTCAGGTGTAGCTCATTAGATGACATACTAATATTATTTAGGTGGACAAAAGAAGAGAAAGAGAACTTGATCAAATATTACAATCAAAATAAAGAATCGTCAGATGCCATTGCAAAAATCACGGAAAAATACGAACAGAGCGGTTTCAAATTCAAATCTCAAATATCCGTGATACAAGAATTACTACAACAAAAAATAATTACGGAAAATGAATACCACGAACTATTGAGTCATCACAGAATCGAAACCATCGATTATTTACCTGAAGACGTTAATGATAGTTCGAAACATATTGACGAAGAAAATTCATTTTCTGAGGATAATCTCATTGATAGCGATACAAAAATGATTAGAGAGTATCTGAATAAGGAAAATAAAGGGAAATTTTTATGTTGGTTGCAAAATGTGTTATTGGAGGCCTGCTATGCTAAATTAGTTATTTCCAAGCCTGATGAATTTAAAAATGGTAATACCCTACTGGAACCGTCAGCGTATTATTTTGCTTGTAAGTACCTATATTTTTTTTATTATACTCGTTGTCCCAAGTTGTCATTTACGGTATAAACCTTAAAATATAAAGTAGTGATGAAGAAAGGTTACGCCGATGTCAGTTGACCGGGATGGTTATCCAAGATGGCTACGTGACATTAGTATTTACCAGTGGTGTATCCTATTTATATTGTTTGAGAGTAATATTTTTATTAGATTAGAAATTCAGGAAAACAAAGTCTTTTTAAAAGTGTATAATTATATTTCAGGATTTTTACCATTTAACAGCATTATTTTTTATGATTTATCAAAGTTCTACCTAGTCAAATATTGATAAATGTATTAGATACAGTCTTGCCTAAGGCCTTTCTAAATAGTCGCTCAACAATTTCTTTATTATTTCCAAAATTTTCCCAAGCAACATTTTCTTCTCCCTCCAAAATAATTTTTTTCTTGAGTTCCATCATTATTCTCTTTAAAGATTTAATGACTTTCCGTTGTCTCCATACGGTTTGCTGTTATTTACTTAATTTAATATTCTCGACTTCATTCTGTGCTTCCAAGTTTTGGATTCGTATTTTGAGCTTCTTTTTACAAGGGCAATCAGGAATGTTCCCTATGTTCCATATGTATGTACAACTTTGTTGACAAACAGAAGATCCAGGAAGAGCTAAGGAAGCTTCATCACAGGCAGTTGTCTCCTGTTTAATCAAAGGCCCAGACAGCACAAGTCAATCCATTGGATGTCCATCGGAAGTCCATTTATGACATATCGGCTATCCAAATTATGTCCAGCTTTTTACCGAAGAACATTCAAAGGATATCCAAAGGATATCCAAAGGACATCCACTGGACTATATAAATGTCCCACTCCTGGACGTCCATTTGGACTTCATGAGGTCCATATATGGACTCTTTTTGTATTGCTTTTGGACAATTTATGGACATCTGATGGACAACACCACCTTTATTAATAAGAAATAAAATAATTGCAACTATGGACATATTTTTATTGTCATAAATAATATCAGATATGTATTGGTTTTATACGCACTCTTTTCTGTTGACCTTCTCGGCCATTTTCTTAAGGCTATTTCGCTTATATAATACAAAAACCAATTATAAAATGACATATAAAAAATCAATGAGTCATAAGTCGTTAACCAAAATGGCCGACTTTGTCACGTACGTTTCCTATTGGAAATATGGCACATACTCCTTCCTTACTATTTTATATTCTATGGAAAAAAACTAAAAAAATATGTGTCATGTCAATAATAGTCTAGTAATAAGTACCTATTCCATTCCGTGCCCACTACAGGTGTTCTTATGTGCAAACTCGACACATTACGTGTCGATTAGAGAGAGATATTACATATGAATCTCAGTCTTTCGAACGAAGATATGCATCTCGATACAACACGTATAGAAAGATTAGAATTCCACTGCTGATCGATGTTTACAACGTTATCTTTTGTTTTTAAATGGAAATTAGTTTACCTTATAACCATACTGTGTTCCATGTTATCCGACATTCATGTTTAAATATACAATTATATAATACAAAAAAATATATAATTGTAATCCTTTAAATCATTAAATATAACATGGCACAGTCAGTAAGATCTTACTTATTTGACGCCCTGATGGTCGATAGATTAGATTAGAAGTTGGACGTTATTTGTCCTTGTCCACCGCGACCTTTTCAGATCTATTGTGGGACTCCGTTTGTTTTAGATTATGTCGTCTAGCCTGGTCTTTATTATTAGACTTAGTAGCTTTGACAGTGGCTCCCGCATGTAGTTGCATGCAATTGGCTTTTCTTCGCCCAATGTTAGAAACCTCATTCCAGCCAGGCCTTCACATTGGCACAGTACGTGGAATGATGTTTCCTCTTCTCCTTCACAGAACCTGCACAAAGTTGCTTTTTCTGCTGGATTTATGACACTCATGTGCCTTTTGAGGCGACAGTGTCCCCTAAGAAGGCCTACTGTTATCCTAACGATTTGACGCTTTTGATTCAGTAGGTCTTTCGTGAACTTGGCCGATGGTTCCTTAATGAACTGTTTGGCCTGTCTCAGTCTTAGATAGTTGTTCCACCATTCCTGAGAATGGTCGATAGGTTAAGCCATAGATTTTTTGTTCGATTCCTGCAGAGGAACGCGGTTTTTCATTTCTTATTCGTTTATTGTATGTACCATATACCATATTTTTAGGAGTGCGTTTCTTATACACAAAAATCCGTACTGATATAATAGTATTTAATCATTTTTTAGTGTTAAACCTACCAATACCTCTCATACCATGGACCACAGAACAGTCAAATATCCTCAAGTATCAACCATTCGTATTATTACTACACAAACTAGGTTTTTACTTACCATTGGATACTGGAAAAATTTTTGTGAGGATACCAAATTTTTGGACTCCCGATTATATGTTCAGCATAGCCCAATTATTAGGACCTATCAATAAAGGTATGATACATTAAGGGTACATTAAGGTTACATTAAGGGTACATTAATGGGACATTAAGGCTACATTAAGGATAAATTAAGAGTACATTAATAGTACTTTCAGGGTACATTAAGGGTATAATAAGGGTACAATAAGGGTACAATAAGGGTACACTAAAGGTACAATACCATGTACATGACTAACTTTGTAATTATTTTTTCAGATAAACTAAAATTTGACGTAAACAAAATGAAAGGTGCAGATAAGAATACAATTTTCGGAACAAAATCAAATATTCCTGCTTCTTTCTGTGATGCAGGAAAGTTTTCTGTGCCCGAAAAAAAATTGACACCATCAATGTGTAGATTTACGCCATTGTAAGTATCCGTTCATTTTTTACTACCCTCGTATTTAGCCTCATTGACTAATATTGAATATACGAGGGTAAGTTGATATTTTTTTATCATCAAAATATTTATTTCATGAAATATCGATCATTTAGTAATGTGATTGCATTTTTTTGAATAATTTTACCGGACATGAGCCATTGTAAATAATCATCTACACAACCAGTGAACATGTTCTATTAGCTTTACCGAATAATAATAAAATTGCGATTCAGTTTTTTTTTATTTTCACTGACTTATTCATGTAGGCGACTTTATATAAAATTCAAATTATTTAAATAATATATTTTAGACCAAACTCTACAGAATGGTTCCAAAGCATCTTAAGAAAAAGACTTCCTATATCCACTATGGATTGTTATGAGCCTATTTCTAGGTAAAATAAATGTCTGTAGAATTGTAGAAAAAGCATGTTATTGTTTTGTTTTAGTAAAGTAGAAAGCTTCTTATCAGGTTATTTAGTATCTGTCTTGGTTTATAGTTAAGTAGGTATCTCAAGGTTCAGCTTTAGTCCCAACACTTATCCTATTATCACACTCCATTAGAGAAAAGTATAGCTGCGTCACATTGCTAAGCCATATTGTCAATTCGATAAACCATTAGCGTGTTCATGTATTTATAAGTATTTCTTTCGATTTGGATTTGAAAAAATGGATATTCTTAATAAAAACATAAAATAGAATAATTTTAGTACCTACACAAATAACACGTCCTATTTTAATTAACGCAGATCATTATAGAAAGAATATTTTTCGAAAAGTTTAAAATCTTAGGTTAAGAAATCAGAACTTAAACGAAATAATCATTTAGCGTCAGCTCAACCGATGAAACTTGATTATATGATACTTAATATACGTTTTGCGATGGTAAACAAAGCCATTTAGATATAAAAAGAAAAGTTAAAAAACACAATACTGACTTATAAAAATTGTTTATTTTAATTTATGAATACTTATTTTTTTATTTATTTAACGTCGGTCTATTTCTAACTACGAGCTGGTGAGCACGCTATCCCCAAATACTAGAAATTTTGCCGAAGCCTCTGGTATTCCAACCAGCCTAGCATCTATCGATTCGGGACCTACTGTCTTATGTCTCCTTCGAAAGATGGCACACCCCACGCTATTCCTCGTACTCATTGATATAACGCCTGCCCACTGTGGTATGCAGTACGTGAGCAGTTTGTTCGGGCGTACGCTGACTTTCATTAATATACCCAGCTAGCACAAAAACATCCCATCTACGTTAATAAGCTGCATTTTTAGGCTCTTTAAGCTCGCATGCAATGTACTGTAAATGTAACCCTTATCTCCCTGCAACTACCGAATGTCCGCAACGGCAAGACTTTTATAGCACATCTCACAGAAGTTATAAAGTGAAGTTCGAAAAACATCACACTAGCACTTTTACGGTACTTACCCCGAAAGTTGCTCTGAAACGTTCTATTGATGTTATAATGTGAATTAGATCTACAGCATTAAACAGTGTGTCCACGGATGGGCTTAACTATACTTGTGAAAATATTTATTTTAAATTAAAAAAGTAATTCTTCATAATTTCTTGCTTGTTAAATAAATTCGATTCACATTGAGAAATTATGAAAAATAACTTTTTCTTTAATTTAAAATAAATATTTTTACAAGTATAATTAAGTCCATCCGTGGACACACATTGTGTAATGTAATACAGAGAGGCTGAAATTGAGGCTATAGTAAAATCTCAATCGAGACATGAAAATTTCAAATAAAACAAAATATTTATATAAATTTATTATTAAAATGTTCTTGAAATCAAGTACCAATAGCACAAAAGTAGAGGTAGGTGTAGGCGTGTTCTTTTATTCAGTGCTGTATCCAGCGCTTGCAGCAAACCGTTCGTAAATTAAGTGATGGAAAGACGATTGTATGTGTCAATCATTCTTTTTTCCAGCGGTGAGTTCACCAATGAGCCAAGGCATCCATCGGCTTTAAAAGCCGATGGATATGTGATAGACGAATGGTGAGGATAATCAATCATTTAAGTTAACCTAAAATATAAGAGTTCAAATATAAAACGACTGCAGAATAGATAAATTACATCAATCACTGATGGAACAATTATTGAATAAAAGAACACACCTTATATCACAAACAAAAGTACACATGTGGGATAGAAGAAGCTAGCTAGAAAGCACTGAACGATTGGACAAAATTAGCTAAATAGTATAATAAGGTACCAATATTGCAAAGGTTCACTAAAACCTTAAATGGTGAACGATGATAAAGCTAAATTGGTGAAAAATAATAAACGAATACAACAATGACTAGGTACATATTATTATATTAGATTACTAGAGGATAGCTAAGTTCGCTGATTTCTTACCTAAGACGCAGAGATATATCTTTTTTAAATCAAGCCTTTTAACTTTTTAACTTTTTTTAGGAAACCTAAAAAATAATATTTTTAAAATGTATTTTTAGTTCGATAAAGTATAATTTACCTTTTATAAGTATTTGGTGTAAAATGTTGCCGGACATTCGGTTAAATGTTTATCTTCTGGTTTACAACGATTGATCTGCCTGATTTTTATTTGGTGTCATCGGCATCGATTGCTAAAGATACTTAATGAATGAAATAATAAATTTACATCAGGCATTGTAATCTGAAACAAAGACAATGGTTTAGAAAATAGTTATCTATTTTATAGAGGACCCTTACCAAATCTATTCGAATGTATAAATAATAATTATTTATAAAATAAATTCTGGATGTCGAAAAATAAACCATTAAAAAAGACAATTGACAAGAAAAACTGACAAGTGACAATTGACATAAAACTAAACGTTCTGAATTGAGATTTGTAATGTTGTGGTAATGTTTACGGTAGGTTAACTAGGTAAATAACAAATAGAAGTTTTGCGAGGTTTTGATTTCCCTTAACAACTTCTCATGAACGTTGCATTTACGTTGTACAGTAATGTTATTACGTTCCCTTAATGCAACATCGCCGAAAGGCTTGGCAACGTTATGTGCTAGCTGGGTAGGCACCCATATATCTAACTAAATGCGCTCGGCCTGGCTTCTTGACTACAGATATCGATACACAATCGTGAACTTGCTAAGCCGGGCCGCTGCCCATCTCATTGCTTTGTACATTGAAAGATCGAGAAGTGTTATAATATTAAACTAAATTTTTAAACAGATAATAAGGTACTCATGAATGTGGTGAGCCGCGCCAACAATAAGTTCAGACACCAATAAGCTTCTCCTAGAGATAATGATATAGAAATTCCTAACGTCTTTAAAATTATTCTCTAAATCAGTGGTTCTCAAACTTTTTTGACGACGGAACCTTTTTGAAAAGCGGAATATTTGATGGAGCCCTAAACCCTTTTTAAAAAAAAAAATGTCTCACTCAAAATCATATTTTCCTTCCTCCAAGTGACTTCTAAAAAAAATGTCCTCAAGCCAAGTTTTATAGCGATAGTACTACTTCTTTTTTTTTATGATTATTTACTTCGCGGAGCCCCCACAAACGCTTTGCAGAGCACACTTTGAGTAACGCTGCTCTAAATTGAATTATACTGAGGTGGAGAAATTTCTTGAAATCAAAATTAAAGTAAAAATCAGAATGTCGGGGTTTGTGGATATTAGAAAAATGTCATGAGAAAATTATGAGTTGAACTTATTTTTGGAAAGATGAGTAGTTATTGATGAATTATTATATAATAGATAAAGAAGTTGAATAAAATTAAAAGAATTAAAAGGTAAATAAAGTTATATTTAGAAAGTTAGAAATATTATATAGAACCAGAGAGAGAGAAAAAGAAAGAGAGAGAAAAAGAGAGAGAGAGAGTAGCAGATACTAGGGAGCAGGGTTGCCAATCGTACGGTTAATACCGTACTTGTACGGTAATTTCTGTTAATGTAGGGTATACGGTCCAAAGTCATTACCGTACACAAAAGTACGGTATTTACATAAAAAGTACGGTAAACGTACGTTATTTTGAAAAGAATTAGCAAATGTTTTGAATTATATAAGAATATTATCAGTTTTATTTTGTTGTCAATGTCACTTATTAATTCCCTTCAGACTCTAGAGTCACCTATGAATGAGAAGCAGTACTATATCTGTATTACAGATTTAGATACAAATGATTTTTTCGGGGAAATACAGAATCTGAAATTTTGATTCCCTGAAAAAATCAATTGACATTTTTCGTCTAATTTAAGGAGACTTTATAAAAACAAAAAATTTACTTCTATCCTTGCTATTTTAACGTCTCAAGATGAGTATGGGTCAGATACAGATGACAATGATGTGTTAAATTTCGATTTTTGTGTTTATATATTTTTAATTTCTTTATAATGCATATTTCTAATAAAAATTAAATAATGGAAATATATTCATATATATTATGCAGTTTTTCTACAAAATAAAAGTGTACGGTTTTGAGGAGGCCGTGTACGGTAATTAGAATTGCGCGGTATGGTAAATGCAATTTGAAAAGTTGGCAACCCTACTAAGGAGAGACATTCAAATAAGACAAGCAAAGACAGGCATAGGCGGTACAGACAGGTAGAGACAAACAGGACAGGTAGAGACAGGCAGATACAAGCAGCACACACAGAAAGAATACATGTAGAGACAAGGAGACATATAGAGGCGATAGAGACAAGCGGAGAAGATTAAAGAATTTAAATTTATTTTTTTATTATTAAAAGGTGGTATTATTAATATAATTGTAAATTTTTATAGCCAAACCACCCCCTTTTGAGAGTCTGAGTAAATTTTTTGAAAATTGATATACATATATGTGTTAGGTTTAGCATGACTTTTAAATAAGCTGTTGGAGTTCTCATGGCTTCCGCAGTACTCAGGCATGCTTGCCTTTGAATACCGTTGGGCTGTCGCATGGCTCCAGCTTGCTTAGTCTTTGGCCACCATGCCACCGACCCGTAGGTTATCTTGGGCCTTATAACTCTGGTATATAGCCATTGGGACATTTTCGGTTGTAGTATCCAATTTTTTTCACAAAATCTTCGACATAAGTTGAAGGATGTTGTGCTCTTTTGGGTGACTTTTTGCAAGTGTTGATTCCATGTTAACCTATGGTCAAAGATGACTTCCAAGTATTTGGCCTCTTAAGCAAATGGAATCTTTACCTTTTTCAGGACTGGTGACATTAGTCCTATCAGTACTATTCGTTTTGTGAAGTTAACTGTTGTGGTTTTGTGAGGACTGTTAGTTCGTCCTCTCTGCACTACTCAGCAACAATGTTTAGAACGGTTTATGTACGCTCCTATATTGTACCTGCGAACTTGCCTCTTACGACGACCGCCAGGTCATCGGCATACCTTAGGCAGTAGAAGTCTGCGGATACTTGGCTTTTTATGAGTTCATCTATTAGGACAGACCAAAAGAGACGTTATAGTACTCCTCCCTGGGAACAGCCACTGCCTGCTTTAGCCATCAGTGTAGCTTCTCCTAGAGATGATGTTATTACCCTTTTTTCTAGGCTGGTTTTTATCTACTGACAAAGGACTACTGGTACCCCTCATTGCTAATTATAGATCTTGTATGGGCATTATTAAAAGCTCCTTCAATATATACGAAAGTTGTTATTGTCATTTCTTTATCCTCCAGGGACTTTGACATCACTGACTGTTGAAATCATTCAGGTCCAAATCGTTTCACTTTCCTGGCTGATATGCATATTGAGGGTCGCTGAGAGGATTTGCTCTTAGTATTTCGTTTTGTATATATCTTTCTAGCGTTTTCGGCATGAATGACTGTTTGGATGGTACAACTTTGATTTCATGTCATTAACCTTTCCTAAGAATATTAAACCTTACTTTTTATAGGTAATAAAAATATAAATATTACCACTATTCCCTCCTAATTCGGATGCGCCACTGTTTTACAGTATTATACATATGGATATTTATGTAACGTAATATTGAGAGGTTGATTAAACATTTGAAATGGAGGTTATAGTAAAACCTCAAGGAAACATGGAAATTTAAAATGAAATAAAAAAAATTGTATGCAAATTTATTATCAAAATGCTGCTGAAATCAAATACCAATACCACAAAAGTAGCGGTATAAATTACATAGATATATTACAAAGTAACACAATTGCACAAATTCTTTGGAGCACTGGGCAGAATCTTAGTTTTCAGAGTTACTGTTTCTGATTATTTTAAGAAGAGGGCTTAAAAAAATACATTAAAACACAATTACATTTTATTAACATAATAGCTAGGTTAAATAGGTAAGTAGCAAAAATATAAGTTTTGCAAGGTTTTGATTTCCCTCAACAACCTCTCATGAACGTTACATTTAAGCAGAAAGGTTTTGCAACGTTATTTTCTGCTGGGAAGCCTCTGTACTTTTCTCTAATCGAACGGTGTTTGCATTACTATTTACTTTCAGTGACTTGTAACACTAAATATAGGTTTGCAGTCTGCATGCAAGTATTTACTTAACCAAATCAACATTTCCAGAGAGCTTAACTGTCGAAGACAGATCACAACCAAAATTTAATTTCTTTTCCTTTTTGTTTTCGAAGGTATTTGAAATTTTGAGACTGCTTTAACATAACCCTACATTTTTCAGCACAAGTCAGCTATCAATAGCGATCCCGGAAAACGATATAGCCTCTGGTCATCTACCACCCCCGGAACTCGCCATCGTTTGCAAATCAGACATGAGTATGGATTGTTTACACTATCATCTCCATGATACTCATATGGACCATACCGCCAATTTAGGCAGCGAGGTAGAAAGAAACAGCAACTGTGATACCGCCTCCATGGCTTCGGATTTGACGAGAATGTGTGTGAGTGACGAAGACGAAAAAGTCGACAAAGTGATATTGGTGTTAAATAGTAGTGATAAGCACGCGTGATGTCTTTCAGTTTGTATGTAAAGTTTAGATGTAACGAAATTGTGTTCTTTAAATTACTATGTATATATGTGTGTGTTTATTAAGGAAATTGTTACGACAAATCAATCAATGGTTTCGTTTTGTAATGTACTCGTAAATGTACCAGATCACGCCATTAGATTTGTCGCTAAAATTTTCTATCGATACAAAAATGTGATCTAGTCGATTCAGCAGATCTACGAACAAAAATTTTAAGACAAAACAGAAAAATATGTTCTCTCATTTCACCATTGATTCCTATGTTCAATTTTACATAGTTATAAATCATTTTTCATAAGAATATGAGCCGTTTGAATATTATGTGCTTTTTTAAATCTGATGATGCAACAATTGTTTATTCCGTAAAGAATTAATTTTCAAATTTAAAGTTCAGATTTAAAGGTTACTAAAAGCTAAAAAAATAGATTGAAAAAAAATCTGATTTATTGTAGATATTAACTAACAGAAAACCTGAAGTAATAACTTAAGAACAAAGTTGTCAATTAAAAGCGTCTATAGGTATTTTTTTGAAAAACTAGGATTATGTATAAACATATCACACATTGTGCAAAAATAAACTAATCATAAGGCAACTGCTTTCTTACAAACAAATTTACGGTTAACTATTAAAAACTCATATATTTTCTTCTATAAAAGTGCCATCAGTCTCAAAATATCCGTTGTTACCGGTCCCCTTTCATATAATCATTAAACTCTTGCCGTGTGTGAGATTTTAACATTTTATTGACTGAAAATTGAAAATATACTTTTTCTACACCCACATGGATATTAGCTTATCTACGCACAGACTACAAAACGAAAAAGTATACTATTGCCATTAACTGAACGAATATATTTTATATCCATTCTATGTAGTGAGAACACTGCTAAAAAAATGAATCCACTAATCACAGTTCATATTTTGGCCACCCGATGTTATTTTGAAAATTTTAAATAAGTGACAATTCTGTCATACTAATTGTCAGTATATTTTTTAGTTATTGAACTTAAATATACATTAAAATTACTTATTTTAGTGTAAAATCGATAAATAATAGCATTTCTATTTTTATTTATACTATAATTATAATTAATTTATTAATTTTAATAAAACTCTATGAAGTCAATTCAATTACGAGTACTTAAAAAATTTCCCAAATCTATTAGTGGATGGGTGGTGGTGAGAGTATCTGCCTTCTACGCGAAAAACGAAAAACCCAATTTCGAGCCTCGGCTGAAGACTATTTATTTTATTTTAAAAATTATTAAGTGTCATAAATTATTTTAAACTTAGTTATTATGTCTTAATAACCTAAAATATTTTTTATTTGCAAATTTTCGGTAGGGGGTCGTAAAAAAATATACTGTACAACTCGAGTGGATTGTCCACATCGCACTTAGACGATTAAGCATTTATTCCGCCTATGGCGTCGTGCTCAAATTTCGCCTTTGTACGATATGGCCATCATATCCACTCTATTATCTTTATCTTTATAGGTTGTAAGCAGGTAGAGTTAGGTTTGGCCCAGAACACTGCGGCCTCTTGGGTCTATTGTATTCCCCTGCTTTTCCCGTATTCAGGTACTATCTTTGGAATAGTCCTGTGTCTTTGGTTAGTTTTAATAGGTTCCCTACCAAGTGTTCCTGGGGCGTTCTTTCCGGTTCTAGGCCGAAAAGGATGAAACGTCGCCCAGTAAGAGCTTCGCATTCGAAGATCACATGGTATGAGGTTTCTTCCTCTTCCATGCAAAGCCTACACGTAGTGGGATCATTGTGTAATCCCATTACATGAAGGTATTTCAGCAAGCAGTGTCCCGTTAATAATCACACAATGGTGGATATTTGAGGCCTTGCGAGTTGTAGTGCCTCAGTAGCCATGCGTGGGTTTGGTCCCCTTAGCATGAGCTTACTGATTATGTGCCCTCTTATCTGTTGCCAGTGAATTTGGTGTTTTATGGTTATCCACCTGTTCACTGCCTGTCGAGCAGAGGTTTTGCTTATCCCAAATACAGGTTCGGGTCCTGTGAATGGTAGATCTGATCCCTCTTTGGTGAGTTCATCAGCCTTTTCATTTCCTTGAATACTTTTGTGCCCTGGTACCCACGCCAGTTTTACCTTGTTGTGGGTTGCCAAATCATTTAGTATTTCAAGGCAGTTCCAGACAAGCTTTGACTTAATTCTGTTTGAATCAAGAGCCTTTAGAGCTGCCTGGCTATCTGAGAGAATTAGGATGGTTTGTTTTTTGTACTTCCTTCTTAAATTCTCTTGTATACACAATTCAATTGCATGTATTTCAGCCTGAAATACAGTGGCATGTTTCCCCAGTGAGGCGATGATGTCGCATTTGGGTTCAACTCCAAGTACGCCAGAGCCTGCTCCCTTGTTAGTTTTAGATCCATCCGTATACCATACGAGACCGCTAAGCAAGTATTTATCTATCTCCTTATTTACCTCGTTCCAGTTACAGTTGACCTGGAAGAGTCTGTTAAAGGTTAGGAGGGGTGTCATGTGATCTGATCCTATATTTAATATAGAATCATTTACTTCATGTGTTATTCTGGTATGTTTTATATGTCCCAGTGTGTTCCAGTTGTTGGAGATTTCCAGTCTGTATGCACTCATTCTGGCCTCCCCCTTTATGACTAGGTCAAGGGGTGGGAGGTTTAGAATTATTTCCATAGAGGCTGTCGGTGTACTTCTCAGTGCTCCTGTAATACAAAGGCATGCCAGCCTCTGCACTCCTGGGAGGGGATTGAGGGCTGTTTTCTGGTTTATTTTTGGCCGCTCCATAAGTTATCATGGGTCTTGTTATTGCTAAATATAGCCCGTGGACCATTTCTGGTTGTAATCCCCATGTTTTTCCAAATGCCCGTCTCCCTACAATGAGAAACATTTTACATTTGTTGGTCACTTTTTGTAAGTGTTGGTTCCAAGTAAGTTTGCTATCTAGGATTAGATCCAGATATATTACTTGGTTCGTTTTGTTTAGCCTTCCTCCAAACAGAGTCGGAGTTTCTAAAACCTCCAATTCTGTTTTTCGAGTAAAGGTTATGAGTTGTGCCTTATCAGGGTTTGCCAAGAGGTTTTCCCTAACGCACCACATTTCTGTCAGCCTAAGAGCTCTTTGCATAAGTTCAAAGACTGTAGTTTGGTGTTTCCCTCGGATAAGGATGACTATGTCATCGGCATATCCTTGGGCATACAGCTCTTGATTGTTTAGTGTTTTCAGCAGTTCGTCTGCCACTAGGTTCCACAGTAGAGGAGAAAGGACTCCACCCTGTGGACATCCCCTGTGGATATTCAGCTGCATGGTTTCACTAAACATTTGTGCCTGTACTTGCCGTCCGCTTAACATGTCTTCTATCCACCAGCAGATGGTGTCTTCTATTTCATGTTTGCGAGCGGCAGCTACCATTGATTTAAAGGAGGTATTATCAAAAGCTCCTTCTATGTCAAGAAATGATCCTAGGACTATTTCTTGGCTACTGAGTCCTCCCTCTATCTTGGTTACAAGATGATGCAAGATTTTCCTGATTGATAGGCATGTTGGTTTTTTTGAAATGGCCTCTCTATCAGAGTAGTTTGCCGGACATGCTGATCAATCAGTTTTTCCAATCCTTTCGATAGAAATGACGTCAGAGTTATTGGTCTATAGGCCTTTGCCACGGCATACGTTGGATGCCCCGGTTTAGGTATGAAGACAAATCTGCTTTGTTTCCAGGTATTTGGTACATGTGTATGCACCAAACTTGCCCTGTAGAGCCTACAAATATGCGGAGCCAGCGTTTCTATTGCCTGTTGCAAAAGCACAGGCAGTACCTCATCTGGTCCCGGTGATTTGTATTGCCCATGTTACTTTCTGTGTTGTAACATCCACTCTATTAACTCTTATTTAACATTCCAAAAATAAACGCGCAACATTATTTAAAAAATAATTGTTTTTCTGTGACGGGAAAAAAGTTTGATATTTTATCTCTCTTGTCAGGTAACAAAATGTCACTTTTTACGAAATTACTTTTTTCCCCGTTTCCCGGGAAAAAGTGTTTCCCCGGCAAAAAGTGAGTACATTTTTCCCTATATACAGGGTTTTTCCGAACTTGACGTCCAAATTTGTAGGGGTGGTAATTCGCATAATTTGAGACCTATTCGCAGATTTCATTTTTCCAAAATATTTAAAATAAAAATAATTAAAAATTAATTAAAAATTTTAAACAGGTATGGTCGTGCACAGCGATGGGACGCCTCGACTCGCGCGCGCTACGATCGCACTAGAAAAACAATCGGCTACGTATTTCGATACCGGCCGGGTGGAGGGAGAAATCGCATCTGTTTTTGAATCTGTTTTTGAGTTGTAAATCCCGATGAGTAACCGATCAGGCGACTATTTCGTTACGCACTCAGGGTAGGACCCGCTTTTTGTTTTTTTTTATAATGGCTCTATTTTGTTTATTATAATTTTTTTAGAAAAATGAAATCTGCCAATCGCTCTCAAATTATGCGAACTACCACCCCTACAAATTTGGACGCCAAGCTCGAAAACACCCTGTATATATACATATTACTACAATAATAATATATAATAATATATACAATACTAAATCGTCGTTTTTCCCGTCACAGAAAAAAATAGTATATTATACACGGGATAAATATTGGATTTTCCTTTGTATAACAAATAACTATTATTCAAACGTCAATTAAATACTGTTTGCTTTATGCCACGTTACGTCATGCACGGAAAATGCGAAATTCGGTGTAAAGTGCGAAATTCGGTCGAATTAGTAGCTTACCGGTATTTGTGTATCGTGACCAAAACCCTAAAATGTTATACGTTTGATTGATGCCGTTAAGGAAATTTATTTTCATAAACTTCCACAACCGCTGTAAAGTTTCTGTGAGCTAGGTTTATAACATGTTTTTTCATTGGTAAAATTAAGATCCATGTCTAACGGTCGGGTATTTGTTTTTTTTTACTCCTTTAT